CAGTCAGCAGTGGTACACCGTACCCAGCCTTCATTGTGAAGTCATCACAGAAATATGTAATGGTGAGAATTTCAGCATCACTTGCATCAGGTTTGATCGTCTCTGCTGAGCTGCTAGCTGCCCCTCACCATCCAAGACCAGTGTACTGCTTGTGAACTTTGCAACTCTAGTGATAATTCTTGGGGGCTGAAAATATTTCACGTGTGAACCGAACAGCATTCCACAAATTAACTGATTACCTTCAGATTTCTTGCCAACTGTGCCATTGAAAACCCTCATTCATCTGTAATTTTCATGAGTAGGGACCACTAACACTGTAACCTACCACTAAAAGACCTTGAACTGAGACTGGCTATCTAACTCTTAACAAAACTGTTCTGCTTCTCTACCTTATGTTTTAGTTCTTTGAAGTAGTGAAATATTTTCACATCTAATGCTCTACATCAGGGCTATTCAGGTAAGGGTTTCTCGGATGACAAAATGTTGAAGATGGTGAACGTTATGGACCAGAGCTTTAAGCCTGCAGTATAGAAAGATCACTAATACGATACAGTTGGCATTGATCCGGGGCCCGCTTGTTTTAATTCTCTGCTGGCCAGACTCAGCACACAGGCAGCCTGTTGAGCAGCCATGCTCTTCATTGACCAGGGTTTGATTCCTGAGGTGCGCTCTTTAAAAAAGACTGTTCTTATGGCTTTCAGACAGGTATGAGAGTCACACCATGGAAGAGATTGGTGCTTCACCAAGAAATATTCCAGTAGTTGGCATTGGATATATTGCAGCTAACCTTCATTGTGGAAATGGCACAATTCTTTTTCTTGTCCCTCTTTTCTAGTTAAAAAATATCAAATGGCGAAGAGGACTATAAAGTAAACCCTTTATCCTGAGAATCTGAAGCTTAAAATTGGACCAAATTCCCCAGAAATTTCACATTTGTGAATTATCTTAAAGTGACTTGTTTGCTAGACACATAGTTTTTAAAGCTTCGCAGTGTTTTTTTTTTTTTTTTCCATTTTTAAAGTGTTCCTAGGATAAAATGGTTAAGAACACTGATGTCCTTTCTAGACCAGACAACTGACGAAGAAAACAAAACGTTTTCTCAAACTGTGAATTCTAGACAAACAATTGTCGAGAGGTATATTTATTTCTCAGTGCTGGCACTAACTTGTGCTATTGTGTTTTCTTGCATTGTTTTCACAAGTTTTTGTGTGTAAAAGAATCAGATAAGGTTTCACTGCAGAAACTGAGTGACAAACAGGCATTCCTTAGAACTCGTGCATCAGTGAGCTTGTACCATAAATCAGAATAGTTGTTCAGGCAGATGGCGGGAGGTGAGATCTTGAAGATATAGAGGTCTTGACATGTTCTTCCACAACAGTTAGGCAGTAAAGTGGTTGGTTCTACTGCGTCTCTATAAGGTAGTCAGCATACTGGTTGACAAGCCTCATGCATTATCTTCTCATTCTGGCTCGTTTGTCTTTGCATTTCAACGTTCTTATCTGAAACTTCAGCTGCATTTTGTTTTATACCTATATTTATCACTGAAGTAGGAATGTTTATTATTCTGTTGCTGTTGTATGCAGGAGGGGAGTTATCTCTTGCATACTCAACAATGTATCTAGATGGTAATGATTAACGTTCACAACACGAGGTGTTACACAGTTAGTTGAGCACGATACAACACTCTGTTCACCGATAGTGTATTTATTCAACAGAACATTCGTGCCTACCAGCACGCACACATAGGGATACAATAATGCAAATCATAAGATACAGTCTTCACCCTGCTGATGGCATTCAAGAGCTTACAAAACACAATATGCCCAGTATCCTTCACATGAATCACAAGCAGCCCTTAGGAACGCAGCATAATCTTGCTGCCGTCCCTGGATCCACGAGCTGTCACCACCTCTGTGCCTGTGACAGCCAGCTAGCCACTCAAACTATGGCTAGCAGTAGTGATGGACCATTTTCAATTAACTTACTCGGCCTTGCTGTTAATAATACATTGCATTAAAAAGGCACATACATTTTGAACTGACTAGAGATGCTAATCACTTCCGACATGTCCACGACCCACAGTCGTGAGTCAGAACACAGTAAGGAATCCTACACAATGGACTGGCTAGAGACTCCCAATCACCGAGTCTTTTCAACACACAGCTGAGAGTCAGAACATCGACGAGGAATGATCACGTCCCCGCTGTAGAATAATTGCTAACTTGACAAATGAAGGACTTCACACATCCTCGCAGCAAGATAATCACCTCTCCATTGGCTTATCCTTGAGACCTGCCCAAGTTCATTCCATGAGTTCTCCATGCTTTGGCAGATACATGGATGGCACAGCGATTATTCCTGGGATTTAACTCATGCTGACCCTAACTTCACCTGTGTGCTACAAATTCTCGGTCTAAGTGTCAACTTAGGTACTGTTGACCTTTCTCATGATTTCTCTGGCCAATATACCTGTTCTCAGTTCAATAGAGATTCGACACACAACAGTTGCCTGCGAAAATATGTTGTACAGAAGTGTCAATATTTAGAAAATTAATTAAGGCTTCAAAAGAAGACATTACTAGACTTGCTGTTTCGTTGTCTTGTTGGGTCCGAACCTAATTGGTCAGGAGCTTGCCACGGATTTTCTGCTCAGGACCTCAGATGTGAGGTGAAATAGAGGTTGATAAATTGTTTACTGCTTGTCCTCCGGGTGACAATTTAATTTGTGATCAGCCAGATATATTCTTCTTCGGTTTTACAGACTGTAAACTCTGGCAGGAAGTTTTGCATGTTTGCTCCCTTCTGTTCTTTAGTTTTGTTCCAAAATTTGAGTTTGAATGTACAGTTCTGGCTTATTTGTATGCAGACGTTAGCTCCTTGCCTCTCAGGCAGATGCACTGTTAGTTTGAAGAAACTAACCTCTTATTATTTGACTCTTATGACATGCTTTTTAGGGAAGCAATGGGCCTGTTCATGTTTGTGAAACCAGGTACATTTTAAGCTCTTAGAGATGGTTCTGCAGGATAGACATAACATTGATACCTGCTGAGACTCATTCTTTAGGAAGTGAGCACAAGATATTAATAGGGGTAATGATGTTTAATAATGTTTGAACAATCAGCACAGGAACTCTTGAAGGCAACTGAAGAGGTCTTTGGGGCACATAGGAACATCCTGATAGTCCAAACAGTGTTTTCCCGTAATGAATTTAAATAGTTGAGTTGAGTCAAGAATTGACATCACAGCACTCGGGGCATTCTCATGTGTGCTCTGGCCTCATCTTCAGCAGCCAGCTCAGAGTTCCAATACTGATGGTACCGGTCACAATCTGGTTATATGTTAGTCTTACCTTTCCTCTTATAGTGAGCCGGCCAGACCTGTGGTTAGACCCAAGTGCCTCACTCTCTCAAGGCCATAATAATTTTGTTTCTTTGCTGATTCCGTTGCTTGTTCCCAAAGGGCCTTGACCACATCTGCCTTGTCATGTATCAGCTCACCACCCAGTAGTGCAAATCCAGCCAGTCTGTCTGCCTGTTCATTACCCACTACAATGTGGGTACAAACAATAAATTTCCAGGCATATTCCGCTGTATCTCTTCAGGTGCATTACTACAGATTTACATCAACATAAAATAAGCACAACAAATGAATAAGTCCCAACTGAAATGCAAATAGTCTTTTTTGATGCGTCATGGTTTATCCAATCTGGCCAATGGACCGCCAGTAAAATAACCTTGGTTTAAAAAAACCAATACTGTTTTTAGTTGATAGATTCACATCCCGACCTCATAAAAATTTGTGCAGGCATGAATACAGCCGATAGCAATAACTATATATCTCATAAATAGATCACTATAAACAAATCAGAAAAGTGACATTCACAGGGCATTGGCCTTCACCCAGAAGTGTAGGTTTTGTGGCTTTTCAAGCAGCAGGGTTAATTATCAGGCATTATCCACATCTTATTCCTTTTTTAAAAAATCACTTCACTCTGGCTGCTGAAGATGGTGATGGGGCACTTATGGGGTCTAAAGTGCTGTGATGTCATTGATGAACCTATTCCAGAATAAGTGTGACTGACAAGGAAAGAGCTTTGTAAGAAGCTTTACTTATGAACCCTAAACAACTGTCTATGAAAGCTTTACTTTTGAACTCTTGCTAACTGTCAATTAAAGCCTTACTTATACATTCTAAAGAACAATATGTGAAAGCTTTACTTATGAACTCTAGAAAAAAAAACTCTCTATGAATGCTTTACTTATAAACTCAAACAAAAATCTGTCTATTTTAAGATTTAAAAATCTTTTTATTTATGAATTCTAAAAAAACAGTCTGTTAAAGCTTTACTTGTGAGCTGTAAAAAAACGGTTTATGAAATCTTTTCTTGTGAACTCCAAAAAACAGTATGTGAAACTTTTACTTATGAACTCTAAAAAACTGTCTGTGAAACTTTTACTTATGAACTCTAAAAAACAGTCTGTGAAACTTTTACTTATGAACTCTAAAAAACTGTCTGTGGAACTTTTACTTATGAACTCTAAAAAACAGTCTGTGAAACTTTTACTTATGAACTCTTTAAAAAAAACTGTCTATGAAAGCTTTGAAAAAAATTGACAGCTTTACTTATGAACTCTTAAAACATAGTCTCTGAAAGCCTTACTAAGTTTTACTTATGAACCCTAAAACCCTTATGAACTCCAAAAAACTGTGAAAGCTTTACCTTTGAACTCTTGAAAATTAAACTGTCTATGAAAATAAGCAAACTAATAAATTTTATGTTTATGCATTCACAAGTAAGAATAGATATTTTGAAAGATATAAAAAGGGGCATTAGAGAAAACAGGTTGGATATAACAAAGACCATATGTAAACGACATTAAGAATTCATACAGAGTGTTGTCCCTTAATAAAGACATTAATTTACATTAAGCTGGGGAGATATTGTGAAACCATGTAAAATTTTGAGTGTCTGCCATGTTTGTTTTTCTTGTACCTTTCAGAACACATTTGTGGAATTGCTGAAACCGTCTGCTACAAAGCTACAAGCGGTGCAGGTAAGAGGGCTTTCGACTTTGTTGGCCAACTTTGCAATGTGTGATTGACTGTTCTCCTTGTGTACATTTCCATTGTGTTCCAGGTGATTGTAGTTTTTTTTCTTCTCAGACATACCAAAACAAACTTATGATGGCCCATTTAATAGGCACTAATAAGAAAGAAAGGGAATTTTTCAAGCATTCTTATGGCTAAGAACACAAGACTGTACCCATGCATGTGTACTTAACGATTTCATAGCAAGATCCAAGCAGGTTCTCTGCAAAAGCAGTGGATTGAGCCATTACAGAAGTCCACTGTGCGTAACATTGTCTTTATCTTCGTTCAGGGATATGCGGGTGTAAATGGAAATGAAAGGGCTGATAAGTTGGCTGGATCCGCTGTCACCGCTGAAAGTCAAGCCATGGATCATGCTGATATTATTAATGCCCTCAGAGAAGTGGGAAGGGTGGAGGACTCTGGAGGCAGCGATTTCCACATCGCTCACCAGAATGAAAGAGACGGGAGTTAAGATCTGCGTAGCTTAAAGCGAGAGACACACCCGGCATACAAAAAGACTTATCAGTCAACAAAGAACTGGCACTATTAGTCACGCTAAGGGTTCATATTGATTGAGGGAAGGATCTGAACACCTATGGACATGTCTGGAGTGCAGTGATCATATCCCAATTAATTAAGTTCATTGTTACAGAAAGTTTCTAGGAATACATTCTCCTTCTTATTATAGTCTGTACCATGCGATGTTGGTTGTCATGTCCGTCCACAGCCTTCTCATGTTCCTTTAGTCACTTCTGACACAGAGAATGATGTACCATGTGATGTTGGTAGTCATGTCCGTCCACGGCCTTCTCATGTTCCTTTAGTCACTTCTGACACAGAGAATGATGTACCATGTGATGTTGGTAGTCATGTCCGTCCACGGCCTTCTCATGTTCCTTTAGTCACTTCTGACACAGAGGATGAGGTACCATGTGATGTTGGTAGTCATGTCCTTCCACGGCCTTCTCATGTTCCTTTAGTCACTTCTGACACAGAGGATGATGTACCATGTGATGTTGGTAGTCATGTCCGCACACGGCCTTCTCATGTTCCTTTAGTCACTTCTGACACAGAGGATGAGGTACCATGCCATGATGTCAGATTGTGCAGCATCTTCTCTCTTGGTCTCCCTCTCCCATATTTCCACCTCCAGCTTTACGACCGTCCTGATCTAATCCAGTTTTTTCTTCTCATGACATAATGAAAGAATGAATATTGTCTCCTAGAAATATTTTAGGTTAAAAAAAAATAGTTTGCAAGATGCGAACATTGAAGAATATTGGTACATACACAGCATCCTCTCTCAGAAAGCGAAATAATTTGACCATATTTAAACAGCAAAGGGTTTAGAAAGAACTGCAAAGTTTGGGTCTGTGAAGAAAGGGCAGGAAAAAATCAGAATGATAGTGTCCACGGATCATAATAATGCCTTAGGCAGCAACAAACCTGAGGCTTGGGAACTAGCAAAAGTTCTAGAACAGTGATTCCTAGATGGATAAGGCTCGCAGACCCCTCTTATTTTTGACGCACTACCAGAGACCCCATCATCAATCAGCAAGTCCTTTTCAGAACGTGGCTCTCTTCACGGCACACCTGAAAATATCCCTTTCCCTAGCCAGCTCTCCAGCCCCATGTTCTCTCAGTGCCGTCGCATCTTCAGTGACCTGTATTTATCTTCATGGAGGTTGACCACTGTACACAAACTGCACCATCCATCACCGTTTTTTCTAAGCCATGCTTTATAATATAATAATCATATTAAAAAGTTTCCATGTGGGTTCTAGGGCCCCATTTTTTGGGTGGGAGTGGGAGGAGTAGACCCACTCCTCCCCCCTCCCCCACCAAACATGTCGTAAAAATAAGCTAATTATGGGGTGTATTCTGTGAGCGGAGTGCATCTGCATAAAAGGCGAGGAACCAACAGTCTGTTTACAACTGGGTCAGATCTGTGAAACAGGTGTGCACTAAAAATTCAAGTTCTGAAAAAGACCAGAATCAGAAGTGGGCTAACAACTAGAACCCTAGCGCCGAAGTTTTTAGCTGGTGAATGTGAAGAAGAAGAGAAAGAATGAAGGTAAATCTGTAGTAGAATCATTTTAAATATAAAGGTTTGAGGTTTCTTTTGTTGTTGTAAATGATATCAGTGACTCCTTCGATTTGCTCCAGTGACAACCAGTTGGGAGCCACTGATGTAGTGTATTTCTATCAGGCTGTGACAGAAGCAGTATTCATTAAAAGACATGCCCATAAGGATTAGGGGCCATCATTGTGTAGTGGCCAGAAGCTCACCTGGGGCCCAAAGTTTGTGTGTTCAAATCCGTATTAAGCTAGATTTTGTTGTCAAAAATGACCTCATCCTAAGTGAAAAATTATTTCGAAGCTGATGGTTTGATTTTACAGATGAATGACCAGAGGGAGACAATCTACATTCTTTGTTTATGTCAGAAGGAGAAAACTTGAGTACATTGTGACAGTGGGAAAGTTGGAGGGAAGGAGAGGTAGAGAGAGAGAGAGGATGTTGGACAGTTCGGCTTTCTGGTATGGAGGATCATCTGTGTAAAAGATGATTGAAAGTACACAAGACGGAAGGTTGTGGAAAGACATGATAACCAACGCCACACGACATGGACTTTAAGAAGAAGAAGAAGAATCTGTTCTACCAAATTTTCCTACGGTCATGGAAAGGGTCCATGGTTATAATAAAGATCTAAGAGGTCCAGTTTACTCAGACCTGTTCAGAGAAGATCACAGATGAAAAATACAGATCATGTTTCTTTTTAGGATTTTCGTGAGAACAATCGCAAGAGTGATTACTTCAATCATTTGTCTGCAATCAGCGAGTCCATTGCTGCCTTGGGATGGGTCACTATTGTGAGTATCTTTATGCATCTTTCATTTTCATTGTCTTTCCATTTAATTATCATAAATGTCATCATAGTTGCTAACATCCTCATCATATCTGTCATCATCATCATCACTACTTCTGTTTATACTTGAGGAAGTATTGAGCCTGAACATTAGTGAATACATTTTATTGTTGTTGATGTATTAATTTTTTTCCCCCAGTACACATTCAAATAATACCATTATAATTATAACATTACAACAAAGCGCTTTGTCTTGCACACAAAGGTAGAAAAGGAAATATCAGGTTGTTACCGCGATAAGTTTTTTCTAAATTTCAAAGAAGAAAACAGATTTGTTCTTTTTAAAGGGGGAGGTGTGTGTACATCCCGTGAAATGATTAGAAAAATCTAACGCATTGAGGTGCTTCCACACACACATCAGCTTGTCTCTGCATCCCAGGATAGAAGAGGAATGATTAATCGTATTAGCTTGTCTCTACTTCGCAGGATAGAAGAGGAAAGATCAATCACATCAGCTTGTCTCTACTTCCCAGGATAGAAGAGGAATGATCAATCACATCAGCTTGTCTCTACATCCCAGGATAGAAGAGGAATGATCAATCACATCAGCTTGTCTCTACATCCCAGGATAGAAGGGGAATGATCAATCACATCAGCTTGTCTCTACATCCCAGGATAGAAGGGGAATGATCAATCACATCAGCTTGTCTCTACATCCCAGGATAGAAGGGGAAAGATCAATCACATCAGCTTGTCTCTACATCCCAGGATAGAAGAGGAATGATCAATCACATCAGCTTGTCTCTACATCCCAGGATAGAAGGGGAAAGATCAATCACTTCAGGTTGTTTTTACATTCCCAACACCCCCCCCCCCCCCCCCCAACCCCAAAAAAAAAAAGAAGAGACACAGGTGAACAAGTCTGCAGGAAATGTCTACTTCCCAAGATAGAAGAAGAAGAAGAAGAATTACTGTGATGGCTTATTAACAACTGCTCATCACAGAATCAAAGAAAAAAAAAAAGAGATTTAGAAAGAGCCACAGCATTCAAATTTAGTAAATCACAGAAAAAATAGAGGGTGAACCCTAGAAACATTATATACAGTAAACAAACAATACTTTGTTCGGTGCTCATAGAAAGAAGTAGAAAGATGGAACACATTAGACAACATCAAAATCAAAAGCTGTAGTTACTGTGTCGGGAATCGAACCTGTCACCTCCAGATGGCAAGTGCGCCTCACTGCGGAAACAAGTTTACTAAGACACATGACCAACCAGGCACCCCTAAAAAATGTGTCTTCATTGGTCATGTCTCTTCACATATTTTAGTATATTTGTTTTCAAAGCGAGGCACACACCTTATTTGGAGGTGACAGGTTTGATTCCCGGCACAGTAACTATAGCTTTTGATTTTGATGTTGTCTTATGTGTCCTTTTATCTTTCTACTTCTTTCTAAGAGTGCCGATCAATGCATTGTTTGTTTATTATATAAAGGTAATAAATAACATTCTGGATTCTGAATTTATGGAAGATTAGACACGTTTCTCTTTCTGTTCTCTGCACAGACCCCAGCCCCTGGTCCTTATGTGAAAGAGATGTCAGATGCCGGCACCTTCTACACCAACCGTGTCTTGAAAGATTACAGGGAGAAAGACCCCAAGCATGTTGAATGGTCTCGATCCTGGCTGGCTACTCTGACAGAGCTGCAAGCCTACATCAAGCAGTTCCACACCACGGGCCTCTCTTGGAATCCTCAGGTAAGAATTTAATTGTGCTTTTGTTTGTTTTGGAAGTTGTTAATTTTTTGCTCACCTACATATGAACTGAACATATACCTCTACCAAGTAATAAGGCGAAGGTACAATGGAAGTATTGTTTTTGTCTACCCAGTATATTTTTCTCTCTGTATTTCTCTTTTTTTTTTTCTGTATGATTAATTTTTTGAACTCTTTTACCCTGGTAACTCTAAAAGACATGGTTCATTACTCTTTAAGATTTTTGCCAGTTTTTAACCCTTTGAAAAGTGTTAGCTTTTGTTCGTTCGTTGCGCTGTCTATTCTGTATCACCTCTTACCTTACCCTTCCTTTTTCTCTGTTTCTCTAACATATTTCTCCTGCTCTTTCTCTGTTCTTCTGCCTCTTTTCCTACATTCTCTCTCTCTCTCTCTCTCTTGTTCTCTCTCTCTCTCTCTCTCTCTCTCTCTCTCTCTCTCTCTCTCTCTCTCTCTCTCTCTCTCTCTCTCTCTCTCTCTCTCTCTCTCTCTCTCTCTCTCTCTCTCTCTCTCTGTGTGTGTGTGCTAGTGCTCTATCAATCTGCCGGTCATAATCTTTTTTTAACTTTGTTTTGCTTTTGTATACTTTTTATGTCAATATGTGTAGTGTTCATATGTACATATATATGTATTTATCAGTGTATACATGTATGTGCTTATGTGGACATTCAGGTCTGTCCTGTGAGTAAGCACATGTTTAAAACACTTTAACTACCAAATTTTAATTTTTTCCCCTAAATACTTTTGCCCCTCACCCCCCCCCCCCCAACTTCCCTATTTATGCCCTGAGTGTACTGGTGCTCCTCCTCATGTGAATTTACATGCAAACCTCCATCAACTGTCTCTCTTCAAAGAAGTAAAAAATATGCAAAGATTAGGTGATCAGCCAAAGAAACTGAAAGCACAGACTCCACCTGCCACTATGTTGTGGATAATCTGTTTCATTCCTTTGTCCTGTCTACATGTCAGAGAAATAAAGAGCTGCATCCTCGTGTGGGTTCTGGGCTCCAGAATAGACCCACAGACCCCCTAACAAGAATGTTCTACAAGGTGACCGATTCGGGGAGTTTCCTTCGAAAGTCAGAATGCATCTGGGTGAAAGGCGAGGAAGTAGCAGTCTGCATGCAGATAAGCCAGGTCTGTAAAATGGATGTACACTCAAAATTCAAGTGCTGGAAGAAGACCAAAGTTCAGAAGTGGACTAACATCCGGCACATTTCACTGGAGTTTACAGCCCACAAATGCAAAGAAAGAAGAAGAGTTGAAACTTCACGTTAGCAACCAGATTACCCAGAGTTATTGTCCTCTTACCGCACTAGCTCCATAAAGCAAGAACAGTATACACACACATATACAAAAGCCACTAAGAACTAACAAAAAAATAAAAAACAAAGCCACCCAGAACCTGACAGTGACAGAGTGCTCCATTAATATTGCCGTCATCTCCTGTCAAGTGGGGTGGCAGCCGGTATGCCCCAAACAAAGTTTCCAGCTAAACAACAAATGCCTGAAGCCGCTCCGCTGTGTCGTTAGCACTTAACATCGGAACAGGAGATGACAATCTGAGAATCCTGAAGCTGGCGATGAAACAAGAACAGGCTTTGTTGCTTGTTTTGCGCTTCATTGTTGGCAATTACTTTGTTTTTTTCCCTCTTCTTCTTCTACAGTCACTTTAAAAAAAGGAGTGTTTGTTTGGTTAGGTAGTAATAGTTTTTTTTTTTTTTTTTGTGTAATGTCATTGCTGCACTGTGAAGTCAGTGGTCAGGTATGTACACTGCTGGCCTCAATAGTAATTGCTAGGATTCGTTTTTGGAATTTTAGAAATACCAGTGAAAATGAAACAAAAATTAAGTGCATTTGAAAACAAATGCCTGAGCAAATTAATGAACATTAAATGGGGTGCATTTATATCAGGTGTGTAGTAAAAGAAAACTTGTATAATTAACTGTAAGACAAAAAAGATGACATGAGGAGAAATGGACAGAGAATTATCTAACAAGCACTGGAGACAAATAGGTTGAGGAAAAATAGACATTAAGAACAACCCTGAGGTGAATGTTGTCAAGAGAGACCAAGGACGTCGGACTGGATTCCATCCATGACATCGATTGCACGGATCAGATTTGACTGAGTTGCTCTAAGACAGTAGTCGGTACTATCTGTTCTCTGTTAACTTGTTTAGATGTGACTGAGCTACCATATGACACTAGTCGGTGCTATCTGTTCTCTGTTAACTTGTTTAGATGGGATTGAGCTACCATATAACACTAGTCGGTGCTATCTGTTCTCTGTTAACTTGTTTAGATGTGACTGAGCTACCATATAACACTAGTCGGTACTATCTGTTCTCTGTTAACTTGTTTAGATGTGACTGAGCTACCATATAACACTAGTCGGTACTATCTGTTCTCTGTTAACTTGTTTAGATGTGACTGAGCTACCATATAACACTAGTCGGTACTATCTGTTCTCTGTTAACTTGTTTAGATGGGATTGAGCTACCATATAACACTAGTCGGTACTAGCTGTTCTCTGTTAACTTGTTTAGATGGGATTGAGCTACCAAATAATACTAGTCGGTACTATCTGTTCTCTGTTAACTTGTTTAGATGGGATTGAGCTACCATGTAACACTAGTCGGTACTATCTGTTCTCTGTTAACTCGTTTAGATGGGACTGAGCTACCATATAACACTAGTCGGTACTATCTGTTCTCTGTTAACTTGTTTAGATATGACTGAGCTACCATATAACACTAGTCGGTACTATCTGTTCTCTGTTAACTTGTTTAGATGGGACTGAGCTACCATATAACACTAGTCGGTACTATCTGTTCTCTGTTAACTTGTTTAGATGGGATTGAGCTACCATGTAACACTAGTCGGTACTATCTGTTCTCTGTTAACTCGTTTAGATGGGATTGAGCTACCATATAACACTAGTCGGTACTATCTGTTCTCTGTTAACTTGTTTAGATGGGATTGAGCTACCATATAACACTAGTCGGTACTATCTGTTCTCTGTTAACTTGTTTAGATGGGATTGAGCTACCATAGAACACTAGTCAGTACTATCTGTTCTCTGTTAACTTGTTTAGATGGGACTGAGCTACCATATAACACTAGTCGGTACTATCTGTTCTCTGTTAACTTGTTTAGATGGGATTGAGCTACCATAGAACACTAGTCAGTACTATCTGTTCTCTGTTAACTCGTTTAGATGGGATTGAGCTACCATATAACACTAGTCGGTACTATCTGTTCTCTGTTAACTTGTTTAGATGGGACTGAGCTACCATATAACACCTGTCGGTACTAGCTGATCTCTGTTAACTCATTTAGATGGGATTGAGCTACCATATAACACTAGTCGGTACTAGCTGTTCTCTGTTAACTTGTTTAGAAGTCACTGAGCTACCATATAACACTAGTCGGTACTATCTGTTCTCTTTTAACTTGTTTAGATGGGATTGAGCTACCATATAACACTAGTCGGTACTATCTGTTCTCTGTTAACTTGTTTAGATATGATTGAGCTACAATATAACACTAGTCGGTACTATCTGTTCTCTGTTAACTTGTTTAGATATGATTGAGCTACCATATAACACTAGTCGGTACTATCTGTTCTCTGTTAACTTGTTTAGATGGGACTGAGCTACCATATAACACTAGTCGGTGCTATCTGTTCTCTGTTAACTTGTTAAGATGGAACTGAGCTACCATATAACACTAGTCGGTACTATCTGTTCTCTGTTAACTTGTTTAGATATGACTGAGCTACCATATAACACTAGTCGGTGCTATCTGTTCTCTGTTAACTTGTTTAGATATGACTGAGCTACCATATAACACTAGTCGGTGCTATCTGTTCTCTGTTAACTTGTTTAGATGGGCCTGAGCTACCATATAACACTAGTCGGTACTATCTGTTCTCTGTTAACTTGTTTAGATGGGACTGAGCTACCATATAACACTAGTCGGTACTATCTGTTCTCTGTTAACTTGTTTAGATGAGACTGAGCTACCATATAACACTAGTCGGTACTAGCTGTTCTCTGTTAACTTGTTTAGATGGGACTGAGCTACCATATAACACTAGTCGGTACTATCTGTTCTCTGTTAACTTGTTTAGATGGAACTGAGCTACCATATAACACTAGTCGGTACTATCTGTTCTCTGTTAACTTGTTTAGATATGACTGAGCTACCATATAACACTAGTCGGTACTAGCTGTTCTCTGTTAACTTGTTTAGATGGGATTGAGCTACCATATAACACTAGTCGGTACTAGCTGTTCTCTGTTAACTTGTTTAGATGGGACTGAGCTACCATATAACACTAGTCGGTACTAGCTGTTCTCTGTTAACTTGTTTAGATGGGACTGAGCTACCATATAACACTAGTCGGTGCTATCTGTTCTCTGTTAACTTGTTTAGATGGGATTGAGCTACCATATAACACTAGTCGGTACTAGCTGTTCTCTGTTAACTTGTTTAGATGGGATTGAGCTACCATATAACACTAGTCGGTACTAGCTGTTCTCTGTTAACTTGTTTAGATGGGACTGAGCTACCATATAACACTAGTCGGTACTAGCTGTTCTCTGTTAACTTGTTTAGATGGGATTGAGCTACCATATAACACTAGTCGGTGCTATCTGTTCTATGTTAACTTGTTTAGATGGGACTGAGCTACCATATAACACTAGTCGGTGCTAGCTGATCTCTGTTAACTTGTTTAGATGGGACTGAGCTACCATATAACACTAGTCGGTGCTAGCTGATCTCTGTTAACTTGTTTAGATGGGACTGAGCTACCATATAACACTAGTCGGTGCTAGCTGATCTCTGTTAACTTGTTTAGATGGGACTGAGCTACCATATAACACTAGTCGGTACTATCTGTTCTCTGTTAACTTGTTTAGATATGACTGAGCTACCATATAACACTAGTCGGTACTATCTGTTCTCTGTTAACTTGTT